GTGGACGAATAATTCGATGGAACTTTATTCCCCGAATGAGTTTCGGAACGCGTTTAACGATAATGAGCTTCGACCCGGCGAGAGGCGGGATTATTTCGCGCGCCGCTTATTCCGAAGGCTGCTTTCGCTAAATCTGGATAAACGGGCCGGTTAAAATACGCGGCCGGTGAAAGTGCAAGTAGCCCAGAGCGATAACGCGGCAACCCGATGAACCTAAGGTCACGCGCGTACAGAGACGGAAAATTATATGGTATCGGTGCGAGAGCGCGCCATCTCGCGCGCCGGCCCGCGCTTTCCAGCCATTTTTCACCGCTGATTTTCATTCGTCTCGCGGACAAAAGTCGGAAGAACGGTGGCACGTGAAGCGGCTACGCGAGTCTTCCGGGAGCCGAGATATCGACGCCGATTTATTATCCCGGACGAAAGCGAGTGCACGCGGGCCGAATATTTAAGCGGCAGTCTCCGCGAGGCAGCCTTGAAAATTAGGCGACGGGATTAGGGATCGGAGAAGCAATTAGAGGGTAAACGAAGGGTAACTCGAGGTAACTCATACTTTGCCTTCGGTTCGCCTAAGCGAGAGCCTAACCCTCGAAAACATAACCTCGATTATATTTTCCATGGATTTTCCAGGACGAACAGCAGCGGGGAAATCGGGATGCACGGGTCCGTATGTTAGGACGAGATCGCGGAGGAGAGAGAGAGGGCGCGACAGGCGGCTCCGCGGAGCGTTGGGCGAGGAGAGGAGTGGAGCAGAGGGGAAACAAGAGCGGTAAAAATGAATCGATAGGCGGAGTTTTTCACGACGCGGCGCTAGAGGCGCCGGAGGGTGGGGGTCGCGATAGGCGGAGTCAGGCTGATTTAGGGCCGCCATTTTGTGACAATGGACGAGAGGGGGGGTATGCCTATCTGATTGGCTGATCTACGGACTTCTCTCGTCCCGAACAAGCTTCTACAGATTGTTCGGTTGTACTCTCCGTCGGTACTCCAGCCACCCGGCGACCCGGCAACGCCGCCAACCCGTCCACGGCCCTTTCCCCCACCACCGCCACACGCACACCGCGCTCCTGCCCCCACCACCGACCCGCAACGCCGTGAAAGCGAGACACGCGTCCTTCCCGCCACGGGATCCGATCGAATCGACTCCGCTCGACTCGATTCCGACTCGATTCCATTCCATTCCATTCCATTCGTGAATCCTTCTTCCTTCCAGAATCCCGTCTTCCTCTCTCTCTCTCTCTTTCTCTTTCTCTTTCACTACCGACTCGTTGTTTTTCCCGACTCGTGGTCGACGAATTTCGCGTTTCCACGGGATTATTTCGGATCGATTCGCGGTGGGAAGAAGGCCGATTGCCGAGTCGGATATCGATCGCGAGGGTCGATCGGTTGCTCGTTAACGCCATTCGGCGACGTTATCGCGATAGAGCCGGATCGGAAAAGTCAGCCGCGCTATCGGATCGCCCGACCTGGGCCAACTTGTAACGCCGGTCGGTGCGCTCTTGTCGCCGCATCTCTTGTTGCTTTCCGGTCCTTGGATTTCGGGGTAGGGCGTGTATCTTAATCGTCGTATCTCATCTAGATAGGCCGCAGGCATCGAGATCGGCTGACGGAAACGCGTGCACGCGCGTGTGTTAGGGTGGAGCCGGTTCGGAAGTCGGGATTTCGAGGTTATGTTCGAGTTTCTTGGATTTCGCACGGGCATCGGGGCAATTATATAGGTCCACGGCGAATATCCGCGGCGATAGAACGGGAGCCAGTGGAAAATTCAATGTTCCCGAGCGAATTTAATGCAGTTCTCACCACCGATTGGCAGATACCGCGGCTCGACGCTGCCAAATCGTTCCATCAGACCGTGCACGTACCATATGCTCGTACGGCCTGCTTTGAATACATTAATAACCCCCGGCGACTCGGAATATTTGCACGACAAATTTGCGTAGATCCCCGATAAACGCGCGTCTAACGTAACGTGCAAAGTGCTTTACAATGGCACGCGGCGAAAATTTACAAATGTTTGCCCGTTCTAAATATTCCGCCATATTTTCCACCTCGGACCTCCGCTTCTTTCCCGGTTTTTAGCCAAGTTTCTAGCTGTCGCAGAGATAATTCCACGATTACGCCATTCGCGATGCCTACTGTTCGGATTAGGTTCGATTAGGCCAATCGGCGATGCCTCCTGTTCCGATTAGCTTCGATTAGGCCCGTTTTGAAGCTGTCGAACTTGACAGTGTCGAAATTGACACTAGGTTGAGTCTTAACGTCAGCACAATTCGAGTATATCCTAAACATTGATGAATAAGTATAATTAGATTCTTTTTCAATGAGTTGATTCTTAGAATTTAGAATTACAATTCTAATTTACGATCAGGATTACTATAAAAGTAGAAAATTCGATAAAATTCCACGAATATGTATACCACAATATATTATATACATAACATTGCTCTGAGTACATGAAATCAGCAATTCTCTTCTTTCTTTAACTTTTTAAGTATAATTTCGTAATAGTACCAGATACAGAGAAACTCTTTACACGAAATATATTCAACTTTTAATTTCCAATCGCCCCAACCTAAAATAATCCTAAATCCTAGTATCATAACGGGAGTGTAAAAGGATATCTGTTAGGCTTCCTTAAAAAGAATTCTCGTGTATAGAACAGTTGCTTCATGTACATAGATTTTCATTGAAATTTTCAAAATTTCCTGGTTACACGAATTTGTTCACAGTATAGCGCGTGTATACCTTTAGAAGGGATACTTAGAGGGGACACTGAATACTCTTTGTCGGCTAAGAAGCTTTATTTTGCCGGTCCATACAATGTATCGGTGCAACAAAATATATAGTGGAGTGGAGGAACAGTAAGTGGCCTGCGACAATGTTTGCAAGCCGTCAAAAAGGCCCAGACCTCTTCCCCATGAGTGATGCATGATGGGTGCATATATATAGTAAATAGATTCTTCGAGGACCACAGCTCGAGGATCTTCAAATCCAGTTTTCACGACAAATTCGAAACAAGGTTCGACGAATTTTATTCATTAACCTTAACCCCCTGTACTATGATTTAATTCCAAAAAATTATATTCGATTAAAATTATAGTTAACGGTGATAAGTTGGTACAAAAATTTTGAAAATTCTCCGAATTTTGTGCAAAATATAATTACAATTAGAAGGCTTGACACGAGTAGGACTCTCCAATGCATAGGGTTAAATTATATACTATTTAATTTATGAAAATGATGCATCGAGGTAGTATTCGACTCTAGTTAATCACTATACGAGTCTTCCATAGGTGACAAAATTGTACAAAAATTTTGAAAATTCTCCTAATTTTGTGCAAAATATAATTACAGTTATGAGATTCGACACGAGTCGAACACTCTGACGCAAAAGGTTAAGTTGTGCTATTTAATTCTAAAATCAGATACATTAGGGTAGTATTTAACTCTAGTCAATCTCCATATGCCTATTCCACAGATGACAAAATTGCACAAAATTTTTAAAAATTCTCTGTAATGCAAGGGGTCAAGTTATACTAACTTCTTATACCGATAAAGGACAAAATAGATAGACCTACTACATTCGTATAACAACTACGAGTTAGGTTATATGAACGGAGTGTTGATTCCCTACCAGTAGAGCATACTTGCACAACTTCCTAATTCGTCAAAGCACATCCTCTAATCTGCCTCCAACTTAAATCCAGCACCTAATAATCTCTCATTCTGCCACGCAAACATTGAAATCCCCGTTAATGACGCGTCTCCTAAGAACAATTTAGCATATAGCACGCAAGCAAAAGAGAAATAGAGGAAAACACGGAGGAAGCATCGAAGGAGCGGTACCCTCGCGGGTTGGCGGTTTGCAGCGACTTTGCAAGTCCCGTAAAGATGTCCCCCGGTGAAATGGAGCTTATCGAACGGCCGAATATTATCTAGATGCGGCGGCTAGTCAGGGAGGTGTTGAATAATTCCGTCGGATCAGCGCGCTGATTTCATCGTTCTCTCCTACGCGGCGCGCGTGTGCGGGCCGCGTGCCTGTACGCAGGTGTGCGTGCGCGCGTGTAGCAATGAAAGAGATGCCTTCCGCGATCGGCCGACCGAAATTTAGATCGGATCGAGGAAAACGGGAGGCCACGGCGCGTGCCCCGCGCGAAGATCACCGGCCGGATAGACGCTTTCACGCACACTATCGCGCGTAATCTGACTGAAAAATTTGCTCCGTTAACCGACCTCCTGCTCGGCGCTGTCGTTCAGCGGGATAGAAATTGGTGGACGCGGGATGGAGGAGGGGGAGCGGGAAACGGGGCCCGAGTCGTTATATGGAAGAAAATTAACTGGCAATCGCCGAATTCTCGGCACGTTCGATCGGAAAGGCTCGCGTGGAAAAACAGCAGCGGTGGAAAAAGAAGGCGGAAAAGGAAAAGGAAAAGGAAAAGGAAAAGGAAAAGGAAAAGGAAAAGGAAAAGGAAAAGGAAAAGGAAAAGGAAAAGGAAAAGGAAAAGGAAAAGGAAAAGGAAAAGGAAAAGGAAAAGGAAAAGGAAAAGGAAAAGGAAAAGGAAAAGGAAAAGGAAAAGGAAAAGGAAAAGGAAAAGGAAAAGGGAAGAGGAGAGAACAGAGTCGGCGGCGGTCGGAAAAAACAAGGGGTTCGGCGTGGTAGGAAGAAGGAGCGCGGCTAGGGCCGTTGCGAAGGAGGAAGGGAGAGGGCGAGTGTTGACAGGAGAAGCAACACGAACGCGGCTGGGTCGTTCTCTCAGCAGCGGTGGTGGGGGTGGAGTAAACGCCCGCTAGTAGGTTGGTCCGGCGCGGTGGGCGTGGCCGAGCGTGGACGGAGTCGGCCGAGCGTCGGCGGACGCGCACGAGCGCCGGTGAACGCAAGGGGTCCACCGAGGCCGGTGTTTTCGTTTGCCTTAGTTCCGCGCCGGGTGCCACGACAGTCGCATCGACTCGAGTTTACGTGCGCGCGCGCGCGTGCTTCCAAAAATCTTTCTCTCTCTTTCTATCTCTCTCTCCCTCTCTGTCTCCCCTCACTACGCGGACCGGGTAGTCGAGCGAGAGAAAAACAGACGGCAGAAGGAAAGCAGGGGAACACGGAGACACGCGAGCCTGATACCACGATCCGGCCACACTGGTGCGCCCATCATTTCCCCGCACGATTTTCCGCGCTACGACCTTCTCCGACGTTGGCCACGTCGCCGCTCTTGGTTTTCACGCGCGGGACGACGCGCGCGTCACACTGAGGGCCCAGCTCGCCACGCGGGGAACCATCCGAACGCCACGATGTGCTTTGTGTGTGTACAGTGCAGTGTCTTCTTGGTGCTAACTTAGTGATAACGATTTTCAAACACGCCCACCAGCGACGAGACGCCGCGCGGCGACTTATCGCGCCAACTCGGGATTGATAACGATTAAGGTAAGCCTGCCAGGGTCGCCAACCGACCTTTCCTCTAGCGCCGCCTCGATACCCTCGCGAGTGTGCACAACTCGGACTTACAACGGACCCTGTTACATTTCCCAAGTGAACACCTCCTCCGTATCGCGATCGTCCAAACAGTTAGCTTACGAGTCTCGCAGTAGGAGTATTCAAACTCGAGCAAGATTGGTGTCACAGAGGTCAGGACATAGGACTAATCCGATTATCGAGAAGAAGTTTGAATCGCGAGCTAATAGGATCGCAGTTCGGTGTCACTCGGTGCCAGGCGCGTGTGTCGTACCTCAAAACTGCGTGTTCCTATGGTCAAGGGTCATCGACTCACGGGTCCATCCAGAGGTCGAAGAAATTCGTTGTTTGTCCTGGCCAGTGGGACGGAAAGATGGCGCCGACGGTGATCGAGTTCCGCTCTCCGTTCTGTTTATCTTCAGTCTGCTTACCCTTGTCAGCACCTAGAACCAATTATGATCTTGGCGAATAGGTAGTATTCCCAATTCCATCCTCCATTTTCCGCGAACACTTGGTCGTTACTGACGCAATCGTGTAAATCGATCCTAGAGACGTGTAATCCTTTCCATTTCGTCGGGTCGGCCGGGACGACGCGATGGAGAAAACGGCGCGTCCAGTTTTTCCGATCGATCGGATTACCCGGCTTTCCACGAGAAATCGGAGACCTGACGGGCGAATAACAACTGGTTACGGTCGATTGCGTAACGCCTGGATTTCCACGGAAACTGGAGAGCGCAGATCGGATCCCGACGGCGCAGGTAGATCGGCCGATTCACCGGAAGGATCCCCGGGTGGAACGCGTCGTGAGTCAGGGCTTTCCAGCGTTTTCCTTTGTTCTTCTCGCGTTTTGCCTGGCCCGTAGTAAAATCCATTGACGCGGAAAGTCAGAGGTGTTTCTGGGGCCTCTCTCCGGAGGTGTCGCAGGTACGCTGCGAACGAGTTCCTCGGCAAAAATCGCGCGCCATTGTCTCTCCGATATTTTTTCCCTCCTCGTCCTCAGCGAAGGACGATCGATCGGCCGATGACGTCATCGCAATGATTCAGAACCGCTGGAAAAGCGAGCCACCTCGAGTCAGGGTGGTAATCCTCAGCTTGGTAGCCCTTAGGTCGGAGTCTTGACAGAGTCTTCACAGAATCTCGAGGTTAGTTTCGGAAGAGGAATTGGAATTGGGCTATTCGCTGTCAATACAGCGACGGGTGAGGAATCTCGAGAAAAATCGCCTTATTCGTAGCATCTGCGATTGGAAAAGTGGTCCCTTACGAGTTAGGGTAGTAATCGGTTCGCAAGTTCACGAAATTTCGCGATCAGTTTCGAAAGAGGAATAGGAATTGGTCTATTCGCTGTCAATACTACGACGGGCGGAGAATTTCAAGAAAAATCGTCTTATTCCTAGCATTTACAATGGGAAAAGCGATCCCCATCGTGCCAGGGTAGCTATCCGTTAGCAACTCCACGGAATCTCGCGGTTAGTCTCGAAACAGGAACAGAAATTGGGCTATTCGCTGTCAACACAGCGACGATCGAAAAATCTGAAGAAAAATCGTTTTATTCGGAGCATCTGCAATGGGAAAAGCGATCTCCATCGTACCAGGGTAGCAATCCGTTAGCAGTTCCGCGAAATCTCTCAGTTACTCTCGAAAGAGGAATAGGAATTGGGCTATTCGCTGTCAACACAGCAACGGGCGAAAAATCTCAAGAAAAATCTTATTCGTAGCATATTCGAAGGGAAAACTGATCCTTCATGAACTAGGGTAGTAATCCGTTGACAACTCTATGAAATCTCACGGTCAGTCTCGAAGCAAGAACAGGAAACGTTCTATTCGCTGTCAACTCAGCGACTGGCGAAAAATCTCCAGAAAAATCGTCTTATTCGTAGCATCTGCAATGGTAGAACCGATCCTCGTAGTATCAGGGTAGTAATCCATTCGCAACTCCACGAAATTTCGCGGTCAGTCTCGAAAGGGGAACAGGAATTGGGCTACTCGCTGTCAACACAGCGACGGTCGGAGAATCCGAAGAAAAATGGTTTTATTCGTACGATCCGCGAAGGGAAAATCGACGGGGTGCTTCCCCCCTTGCAGAAGGGAGGGAGGACCAGCGGGAGCAGCCTATAATTGCTAATTTGCAAGTATAATAAACGGCCGCCGGTTCTGTTTTCGTTTATTAGCCGCGAAATGCCTCCGCTTATTAGCGCGAGCATGCATCCGATTTTTCCCTTCTTGCTGCTTCATTTTTCACCTGGAATTTTTTCGCCCCCATGCCTCCTCGTCTCGGACCGCGATGGCCGAGCGATAGCTCGCTCGGAAAATCGACTCTGTCATCGAAGATTAATCGCGCGGCCGATCGCGAGGGAAATTACGATGTCCGCCATTGTCTGCGAGTAATCAAGTTATTGGCCGGATCGCGAGTCGGATCCCTGCGCGGCTTCTCGGTAACGCGTCCTCGAGGAATCCACGCGTGCCCCTGTTCGTCGGAAACCCACGGATCTGGTATTCCCCGATTGTTCCATATAAATTACGAGTTCGAGAAATTCTCTCGGAGACGAGAGGAGGCTTCCGCCTCCGGGAGCCTCATCGTCCTTCGCACCAAGGTCTCCGGGATCGTGTTTCCCGAGGCTTCAGCCGGATCCGACGGCAACGTGTTCCTCTTCGAAATTTTCCATCCTGTATCCTCCATCTCGGAATCCTCGATGCCTTACCAAGTTTGGCAGGGGTTAGGCTGTCAAGTCGGCCGAAATATTTTTCCACGCACCGTGGACTTTGCTCGAAGACGCTGCGTGCGACGGGATCGGCGCCGATTTTGACCGCACGTGCAACACGGCGTCGTTTTCGGGCGGAACAAGATTAACGAATCCCGATAAGATTAGCCGCTGCGATACGTGATCGGCCGGCTGGCCGCGATGGAGGTGTTTTTTTCGCCGCGGTGACGTAACGCCGTCACCACTCGCGAATAAATCGTGAAACATCGCGAAGGTGGCCGGCCGGTTCACAGCTTTCGAAATTTTATCTCGCGGCGTCGATAAGCCCGAGATAGGCCTCGTTACCCCGCGTACCCACGATTTATCGGGGTATCGTTGTTGTCCCGAATCGCCTGATAACGATCTTTCGAGTATGGCAGAGTTTAGACTCTGAACTCTCGGTTCCCGACGTCTCACGGATTTCCCGGTTTCACTCCCCACCCAATCCCTTCGCCACGGATAATCTCGTCGTTACCAATGCCAAGAATCGTGAAATTTCTCGATCGCTGTGAATCCTGCCATAGTTTCGGCTTATCGGGCCCCGAGGCCGCTTATCTCAGCCCGGGGCCTCACGAATCGATGGAGTAATCGGCCTGAAATTATAATCTCCTCCGTATCCTCCATTTTTACATTTCCCGAATATATGAAACACGCTTTTCCTACACTTTGACACGTCACTGTGGGAAATTTGACAGCTCGTTCCTGGGTTTCGCTCGAAACTTGACAGAGTTCGGTAGAATAGGACGAAATTAGAGGATCGAAGGAATGGATGAAGAATTTTGAACATACTACAACCACTGTTCATATAAACAGTCGCGAATAGGGTCGTGTGGAAGGTCTATGACAGCGGACAGAGTCGGATTCGTGAAAAATTGGTGGAACTGGCCGATTCCGTTTAATCTTATCTGCGGGCATTTTGTGTATATCTTATCGGATCTTGTTCTCGAGTATTTTATTTGCTCTGGACATATAATTTTCGGAGTGTCCGTCTCTGTCGCGGACCACGCGTGTGTACAGACACACGCGCACGTTTCTAGGAATCTTTTCGGCCATCGAGCAGCATTTAACACCGTTGTACTCGTTCCCGTACGTGAATTCTCAGCGAATTTTTCGTCATCGAAAGCTCCTTATGGTCTCCGAAGGTAGCTAAAAGATTGTGCTTTCTCTGGATGGATAAAAATAAATTGCCACGATTTGCCGTGGATCGGTGTCCCTATCGGTATCGGTGGATCGAGTCCCTTGGGTTGCGTCATCGATGACCTTGATCATCGACTGTGTGTCCGAGGCGATTGATAAATCATTCGGAGGCACTCGATGGTCGAGTGGCCCAGGCAACAGTGTCGCCTGGCCGAAGCGCGCAGATCGGGAGCTAATTAACCGAGATCTTTCGGACCGATCGGTTATCGTGATCGCGGACTGGTGAGTCTTGGCCGCGAGTTTCTTAGTTTGTTCGCGCGATTATCGTGGATCTCGAATAGAGATCGATCTCTGGCAGCCGGGGCCGGAAGGAAAGATCCGTCGAAATTGCTCGATCGACGGGAACGCGACGGCAACCGATTGACATCGGCTTGGGTCGGGCCTAGTGTCCCGCGGCTTATCTCTGCGCGAAGAAATTCGTTGAAAATACCCGGAACCGTGAGGAAAGCGGAGAGAAAAATTGGCATAATTCTGGCCCCGAGTTCCCGTCGGTGTGCCCTCTGCTTGCGATCCCGTGGTTGCGCGATCAGCGATTGACAGTTGGGCATGTGACAGACCGGTCTAACCCCGGGACGTTTTGTTTTCTGGTTGCAGAAGGCGGGGTCAGAGACAGATTTTGCTCGTGATCGTGAAGCAAGCGCCAGGATTACCTATGATCTCCCCGAGCGTCCTCAGCAGGACCACGCTTCCGGCAGAGAGGCGTTTTTGGCACCGTTCCTAATCCCCTTTCCATCTCCCTCCCTCGTGTCCTGCTCGAAACCCCGTGGCTCCTGGTTCTCCTTCTGTTGGAGCAACCCCCTCTGAAGGAAACCACCGCCGACCTTTCACCCCTCCAGTGCGTCGCAAGAGGACGATTTTCGACAGGATGGATATGAGCAGCGAGTCGAGCGCGGCTAGGTGGTACGAGCCCCCTAGGTCCACGCTGGAGCCGCCCTCGGGGGGCGCAGGAGTCGCCGGAGTCGTCGGCAACCCCTCCGATTACAGGGGTTACTACCCCCACGCTGGACCAACCGCCCATCACCCCGCAGCCGCCGCGCACTATGCTCACAGTAAGTACCACGAATTTTTCTCTATCTTCCGTTAACTATTTTCGTATATCTCGCGATTTCGTTCCGATTACGAGTTCCGTTCGGGTTCGTGAATTCCGTGTCGCGACGTCGGGTCGGTGCGAAAATCGACGACCTCTTGGATCACGCGAATCAATACTCACTTTCGAGGAGTTTAGGTTATTCGAAACCCTTAGAGCGTTTTGAAATTTGGCGAATACCTAATTGCGAGGACGGAGGGAATATTAACTATTGCGAACTCGTGTCGATGGATAGGGGATCCATCGAACGTAAATTTCCGGGTCGCGACGCCGGGGCGGTGCGAAAATCGGTGGTTTCTTGGACTATGCGGATTTAATTTTGCTTTTGGGGGGTTAAGCGATTCGAAACTCGTGTCGTTACCACGTTTTGAAATTTTGGGAAGCTCTAGTTGTAAGACTGGTTTCGTCGGATAGGGGTTTTAGCGGACGTAGATTTTCGGGTCGTGACGACGGAACAGTGCAAAAATCTGCGACCTTTTGCATTATGCGGATTTAATTTTGCTTTCGGGGAGGTTAAGCGATTACAGACCCACGTTGTTACGGCGTTTTGAAATTTTCTATATTCCTAGTTGCAAGGACGGAGGGCATATAGCTCTTGCGAACTCGTCTCGTTGGATAGGGGATCCATCAAACGTAAATTTCCGGGTCGCGACGTCGGAACAGTACGAAAATCGGCGATCTCTCGGATTATGCGAATCGATTCTTGCTTTTAGGGACTTTAAGAGATTCGAAACTCGTGTTGTTACAGCATTTTGGAATTTTGAGAATCCCTAATTGTAAGACTGGTGTCATTGAATAGGGGTTCCATCGAACGCAGATTTCCGTGTCGCAATGTCGGAATATTCTGAATATTGGCAACCTCTCGAATTATGCAAATCGATTTTTGCTTTTGAATAAGTTAAACGATTCGAAACCCCTGTGGTTACAGCGTTTTGATATTGGCGTACCCCTAGTTGCAAGGACCTCTTGCGAACTCCTGTCGTTGGATAGGGGTTTCATTGATCGTAGATTTCCGCGTCGCAACGTCGGAACAGTACGAAAATCGGCGACCTCTCGGATTATGCGAATCGATTCTCACTTTTAAGTAGCTTAGGCTATTCGAAACCCCTGTTTTTAAAGCGTTCGAAAATTTGGCGAACTCCTAATTGTAATATCGGAGGGAATACACCTCTTGAGTACTCACTTCGTTGGATAGGGGTTCTATAGGACGTAGAATTCCGGGTCGTGACGACAGAATAGTGCAAAAATCGGCGAGCTTTTGCATTATGCTGATTTATTTTTGCTTTCGGGGAGATTTAGCGATTTGAAATCCTTGTGATTACAGCGTTTTCAAATTTGGAGAATCTCTAGCTACAGGAATACGGTATACCTCTTGCGAATTAGTCTTAGTGAACATGGATTTCCGGGTCGTAACGTCGGAAGAGTGGAAAAATCGGATTTTCAAGCGATTCGAAATCCCTCTGATTATTTTTGAAATTTGGAGAATCCCTGGTTACAGGGACGGACCATACCTCTTGCGAACTGGTGTCGTTGGACAGGGGTTCCAGTGAACGTAGGTTTCCGTGTCGCGACTCGGAAAAGTGGAAAACTCGGCGACCTCTCGAATCACAAAGTCCAATTCTTGCTTTCGCATAGTTTAAGCGATTCCAAATCCGTGTCGTTACAGTATTTAAAAATTTTCCATATCCCATGTTGCAAGAATAGAGCGAATGTCCGTCTCGCAAACTCGTCTCCTTGAATAAGGGTTCCCTCCATCTTAAATTTCCGTGTCGCGACTCGGAAAAGTGGAAAAATCGATAATCTCGGATCCCAGAAATTAATCTACATCGTCTAATTCTTGCTTTCGCCTAATTTAAACGATTCGAAACCCCTGTCACTGGTACATGTACCCACTTCCAAAGTTGCCTTCTCAAAAACTAGACTGTTCTCCAGACTTCACGCATTTGTCAGGAAAAAATCGATCAAGGAAAAGACGAACTAAGTAAAGGATAAAACGAATCCACATTTTCCCTGGAAAACTGGGTCCTAAATATTCGTAATCGATTTCGTTAGAAGTTACCACAAGACAAGGCGTGGTTGGGTTTCTCGTCGGAAGATTGTCCGTGACGCTGGAGGACCCGGTAGATAAGATATCGCGGTGTTTACCTAGGCAAATAGAGTGGAAGACAGGTAGTTGTATCTTATCTCTCAGTATTGGACGAATTTTCCAATTGCCGGGTGTTGCAGTAACTCCCGAACAGCAGCAAAGCCAGGCTGAAACGGGGCCAAAGATGGCGTACGCGTATCGAGCTGGTTTTTCGCGTGTCTCTCGTGACTCGGTTCAACGATCGGCTAATGGCGTCTTGGTCTAGCTCGTTAATTACCTCTGGGATATTTAATTATGTCGTCGTGTCCAGGCTGCCCTGAGGGGCAGCAAAAAAATTGCCGGAAATTTCGCGAAACATCAGCCAGCCTGCACGAACCCCGTCCCTGGCCTGTTAGCTCACTGCGCAGACCTGCTCCAGATAACGCTGGTTCCCCGACGATCTGCCTTACCGATCGAGAGTCCGTTGCGAGCGGAAGTCGATGCAGGCCTGGAATTAGGGGCGATTGAAAACTAACACGGCGCTTCTTAACCTCGAAGCCGGGGCCCGACAATCGAGCCTCGATTATCCACTTTGGAGCACGCGAGCGCACGCGCGCACACTCTCCGCGGTATTTTCAGTCCTCTCGACACCTTTGGCAAATGACTGTACGTTTGTAGCGGCGCGCTCGCCACGGTCCACCATTTTCTCGTCGGTTTGGCGCGGCGGATTCGAAGGCCCGAGGAGCGACAGCGCGTACGGCCTAGGTAACGCCGATAGCTCTCGGTTCTCCGTCGCTGGCCAAGCATGAAAAAGCGAGGAAGGAGCCTAGCATGAGACCGGGCCGGAGCCAGGATCGAAAAAGGGGCGAAAAAGTGGGCGAGGAGGCACGAAACTCGATACAGCCGGTCGGATCTTGAGGCCCTGGAACGCGATATCCCTGATTCTTGCCGACGTGCATGGATCATACTCGGCCCTCTGTTAACTCGTGCTGCGCTAAAAAACCAGCGCCCTAATCGGAATCAAATCTCTATCTGTCGCTGGGACCGCGGCTGCCCGGAATCCCTGCGACTTCTTTACGACTTCTCCCCTCTCCTTTACCCTCCTTCTTTCTTAGCCTTGCTCCGGCCGCGGTGCTTGACCCTCTGACACCGACGGTCCTCAGGAATTCCTCGCCCTGTGAGAACCTACCGAGTTTCCACACGCGAGATCTTCCACACCGTGTAATCTCTCCTTATCGCCATTGATTCAAACGTCCACAATTCTGTCTCCCTCGAATCACATTTACTCTGCATCCTTGTCTTCGTCTTTGACTATCCACGAAAGCTTCGAGTCCAAGTCCGCTCTAACGCGAAAACGCGAGATTGTCAATAGTAGACTAATCGATTAGGCTGTCCCAGGTCGAAAAACGTTCAGGAAAGTATACTCGAGGTTGGCAGATCGTAATTGACACGTAGAAATGTGTAACACATACGCCAGGGACTGCACGTTTTGACAAGACACTGCGTTGACATTCAGGGTGCATAACAGATGGCGCGGTACGCAATGTGACAAGTCTGACTGTCACGCCGAAATCACGTGTTTCTCCGAGGATGTCACGGGAGTATTTTTATTATTCGAAGCATATAATGGCAGAGTGATAATAAATTGGTGATATAAGACGACATTCTTAGCCAATGAAGCGTTTATCTTATTGGCGGTCACGGGTGACCACCGTGGCGCCTTGGTAACGGTTGCCAATTGAACTTTTACAATTGTAAGTAGTTGGAGCGTACCGTTGACCAATGACCGCCGTGGCGCCTTGGTAACGGTTGCAAGTGACAGTATCTGCCAATTTTCATTGAATTGTTGCAATTGTAAACAGTTGGAGCGTCTTTGGTTATTAGTGACCATCGTGGCGCCTTGGTAACGGTTGACAGTTGACAGTAATTGTCAATTTTCATTCCATTTTTACGATTGTAAGTAGTTGGTGCGCCTTGGTAACGGTTGCAAGTGACAATATCTGCCAATTTTCATTCAATTTTTGCAATTGTAAACAGTTGGAGCGCCTTCGGTTATTAGTGACCACCGTGGCGCCTTGGTAACGGTTGACAGTTGACAGTAATTGTCAATTTTCATTCCATTCTTACGATTGTAAGTAGTTGCTGCGCCTTGGTAACGGTTGCAAGTGACAGTATCTGCCAATTTTCATTGAATTGTTGCAATTGTAAACAGTTGGAGCATCTTTGATTATTAGTGACCACCGTGGCGCCTTGGTAACGGTTGACAGTTGACAGTAATTGTCAATTTTCATTCCATTTTTACGATTGTAAGTAGTTGGTGCGCCTTGGTGACGGTTGACAATTGACAGTAAGTGACAATTTTCATTCAATTTTTGCAATTGTAAACAGTTGGTGCGCTTTCGGTCACCATGGCGCCTTGGTAACGGTTGAAATTGACAGTAACTGCCAATTTTCATTCAATTTTTGCAATAGTAAGCAATTGAAACGCCTTTGGTCACCAGTAACCACCGTGGCTCCTTGGTAATGATCAAAATTGACACCAACTGTCAATTTTCATTCAATTTTTACAATTTGGGACACCTTTGGTCACCAATCACCACCGTGGCGTCTTAGTAACGGTTGAAAATGGACTCCAACTGTCAATTTTCATTGAATTCTTGCAATTGTAAACAATTTAAACGCTTTTAGTCACCAGTGACCACCGTGGCTCCTTGGTAATGATCAAAATTGCACAGTAACTGTCAATTTTCATTCAATTTTTACAATTATAACTACTTGGAGCACCTTCGGTCATCAATGACCACCGTGGCACCTTGGAGACGGTTAAAATTGACACTAACTGTCAATTCTCATTCAATTTTTGCAATTGCAAGCAATTGAACTGCTTTGGGTCACCA